GTGTCCGGCAAGAGGCAATCGAGTGTATCGGGAAATGTGGTGCACCCCTACACGGAAGTTAAACTATTTGAATAGTCGTGTCCGCGGTAACATGACAACTTGGAGTTGTATCCCGACCTCTTACAACTAAAACAGAATACTTGTTAAAACACACCCAGATAACAAACAGATACACCCGATGATCACTTTCTTTCAGGGAGACGAGGAGAGGATCTCCGGGTAGGTTACTGTTATATGTATGTACAAGTTGATACCAGATACGCCCCTCTCTTCTACTGCTGAAAGATGTAGTCTTCGATAGGATGAGCTTCCCCCCTTATTTTGCATTTGTGCAGTATAGTCCACAGAATATTACCCCATTCCTTTGGTACCGATGCATGTCTAGTATAGATCTGATGTAAGTCTTGCGAGTACTTTGGATGAGTAATCACCGTTGCCTTGCTACTCTTTTCATTCAACCCGATTGCTGCAACAGTTGGTAGCACCGCGGATGCAGGTTACCACGATGGTGCTTACAACGTGGAGACCGACGACCAGGAGTAGTCCAGAGGTACCAGACAAGAGGCCTTGCCTTTCGATCTAGTGTCGTTGTTTTGCTCAGCCTTCTTAAAGGAAAACTTGTCTAACTATATTTGTACTCAGATATTATTTGCTTTCGTGACTGATGTAATATGGGTCGTCGTGGCCCTTGTTTGTAATATAAAGATTTATGTTTAATTTGTGTCGTAGAGTTGTGTTGTGATATTGACGTGAGTCACCGTTCATGATCATGCATGATGCATGTATGGTTAGTGCATGATTATAAACGGAGGCGTCACAATACTTCTGCCCCTCTGCGCTCCCCTCCCGGGGCACCTTGGCGGCGCCCCGGGAAGAAAGGCGGCGGGGCATATGGGATGCCCAACGACGGGATCCACGGCATGGACAAACGTCGCCGGGAATGGACGTGCTCGAGCCGCCGATGTGCCCATGTTTCTCCCAGCGCTCGAGGCCGCCGAAGGTCATTAGATGGATGCCCCCGCTTGGTGGCGTGAGCCGGCGTTGACTAGCCGTCAATTTGGATGCCGATGGAGAAGAGACCGTCGGGTCTCCCACCTCCACGCCCGAGCTCATGCGGGAGAGGAGCTCCTGAGCGGCGCCAGCATCCTC